TGTCCCCCAGCTTATTTAACTTGTATGCAGAATACATCATGCGGAAGGCTGGACTGGAGGAATCCCAAGCCGGAATTAAGATTGCCGGAAGAAATATCAACAACCTCCGATATGCAGATGATACCACTCTGATGGCAGAAAGTGAGGAGGAATTAAAGAACCTTGTAATGAGAGTGAAAGAGGAGAGTGCAAAAAACGGTCTGAAACTCAACATCAAAAAAACTAAGATCATGGCCACTGGTTCCATCACCTCCTGGGAAATAGAAGGGGAAGATATGGAGGCAGTGTCAGATTTTATCTTCCTGGGCTCCATGATCACTGCAGATGGAGACAGCAGCCCCGAAATTAAAAGACGCCTGCTTCTTGGGAGGAAAGCAATGACAAATCTTGACAGCATCTTAAAAAGCAGAGACATCACCTTGCCAAGGAAAGTCCGCATAGTCAAAGCTATGGTTTTTCCTGTTGCGATGTATGGAAGTGAGAGCTGGACCATAAAGAAAGCAGACCGCCGAAGAATTGATGCCTTTGAATTGTGGTGCTGGAGGAGGCTCTTGAGAATCCCCTGGACTGCAAGGAGAACAAACCTATCAATTCTAAAGGAAATCAACCCTGAGTGCTCACTGGAAGGACAGATCCTGAAGCTGAGGCTCCAGTACTTTGGCCATCTCATGAGAAGAGAAGACTGCCTGGAAAAAACCTTGATGTTAGGAAAGTGCGACGGCAAGAGGAGAAGGGGACGACCGAGGATGAGATGGCTGGACAGTGTCTGCGAAGCAACCAACATGAATTTGACACAACTCCGGGAGGCAGTGGAAGATAGGAGGGCCTGGTGTGCTCTGGTCCATGGGGTCACGAAGAGTCGGACACGACTAAACGACGACGGCTACATTTCTATTATTTAAGTACTTTATTTAATCTCTGATAGTTTCTTTTAAAAACAAGACATGGGGAATCAGAAGCACAGTATTCAAAGATGGATGTAAATTAACATCCAGTTTACTCCTAACCATGTAATTTGTGGTAACAAACATGTCCACTCTAAGGCTTCAATACTGTACAACTTAATTGGGTGTAAGCCACAATGAATGCAATGAGAATTATTTGTAAACGTGCATTGGATTGTGCTATTAGTAAGATTTAACTCCAGGGAGTTGTTTCTAAGAAATGCACTCAGCACCATGATGGAAGTATATTTAGTACTATCGCCCCGGGGCCCTGGACAGCAACCAAATGAAATGACTGATTAGAGGAGGCTTAGAAATTCCCTCTTCGTATGAGTTCAGAAATGATATTTATCAGGAAAGCAACCAGCAAATGTAGCATGCTATCAAAGAAACTGGAAATCACTGAGTCAGGCCTATAAGAGAGTGCATCTGTTGGGCGGATGTTTCTCTTCAACTGCTAATGATTTTGATCTGCTCAGTAACTTGGCAGAAATAGGACAAATGTGAAATTGTTCAGGGCCCCAGAGGCTGTGTTAAAGCCACTCCAAAAATATTTTGGCCTCTGTCTAGATGGGCGGGATAGAAATCTAATAAATAAATGTGTCCTCCTTCTTAGATACTGTACCTCTTTTTTGTACTTGATCACAGAAATGAGACCCTGTTATTAAAACAAATGTTGTTTGTGCCTGTGTACTCATCTAATGCATTACTATTTTCTTATTTGCAGATATTGATGAATGTGCATCTGAAACACATCAGTGCAACCCCACCCAAATCTGCATCAACACTGAAGGAGGATACACTTGCTCCTGCACTGAAGGTTACTGGCTTTTAGAAGGCCAGTGCTTAGGTACGTTTTACTGTTGGGGAAAGTACATTTAAAACAAAGAGAAATGTTTATTCATTATCTTTACATGATGGGTTTTGTGATTATCCAGTTGTGGCTGGACCATCAAGCATCAGTCAAAATGCAATGTGGATAGTATTATTAAAGTGGAGGAAACATCTGGTGGACAGTATATCTGAGCAAGGAAGGTGTTCATAAATTGTCACTCACAATCACATATGGGCAAACTGCAGACTTTGTGCTGTCTGTAGAGGTCTTCAATCCAGCCCACTGTGGGTACACAGGCTGCCCCTGCCATTAAATTCCTCCACTAGTATCACTGCTGCTTTTACAGTTTTGCTAGGAAAAACAGCATGCAGATATTATCAATCTGACAAATGTGGATGAATGGGAGAGTCAGTTGTGGGGGGGATGTAAAAATATGAATACTGTATAGGTATATAGGAGACAAGATGAAATATAATTGAAGTAAAGGGTAGCTGTGTGGTCCAAACAAAACAAAATCAAAATGCAATAGGTATCACCTATTTTTTCATTAAGATGAAATATGCCTCTGTGTACATGCGTGTGCATCAATGCAGTCCTGAACCCATTGTCACATGTGGCCTTCAGGGGCAAAATATTTGTTCACCCCTGTTCTTGAAGTTGTTTGGACCCCATTAGAGTTTCTCAAAAATAATTTAAAAAGACAATTTTTCTTTTAAGGGTTGGTTTGCAACAGAGAACTCTTCTCCCAGCAGGCACAGTGGGGAATCCTAGATAATTAATGAAATAAGTTAGAACTAACTATGTGGCACTCCGGGTTAAACTGCTGAAGCCTCTGTGCTGCAAGGTCAGAAAACCTGCAGTCATAAGATTGAATCCACACGACGGAGTAAGCCCCCGTCGCTTGTCCCAGCTCCCACCAACCTAGCGATTTGAAAGCATGCAAAAATGCAAGTAGATAAATACAGTGGGGTCTTGACTTGAGAACTTAATCCGTATTGGAAGGCGGTTCTCAAGTCAAAAAGTCTGTAAGTCAAGTCTCCATTGACCTACAGTGCATTGAAAACCGATTAATCCCGTAACAGGCCGTTTTTGTTCCATTTTGGTTTTTTTCTAGTCTGTAAATCAAATCTCAGTCTGCAAGTCAAACCTAAATTTTGCGGCCAGAGAAGTGTGTAACTCAAAAAGTCTGTAAGTCAAGCTGTCTGTAAGTCAAGGGTCCACTGTAGGTACCACCACAATGGGAAAGTCATGGCGTTCTGTGTCTAGTCACGCTGGCCAAGTGACCACGGAAGATTGTCTTCGGACAAACGCTAGCTCTATGGGTTGGAAATGGAGATGAGCACCGCCTCCTAGAGTCAGACACGACTAGACAAATTGTCAAGGGGAACCTTTATCTTTAACTGTTATATCAAAAAAATTAATGACAAAGACCTTGTTAAGTTATAACCAACCATTACTCTGAGTGAGAACCAGTGTGGTTTAGTTTCAGATTTGGACTCGGAAACACTAGATTCTAATCTCTCCTAGGCCATGGAAACTCATGAAGGTGAAAACAACTCCTTAAGCACATCACATACCTCTAAAACTCTAGTAGAGTCTATGCCAGAAGTGACTTGATGATCTATAACAACAATCATTTGTAATGTGCTATTTCCAATCACTTCAAAAAGCTTTGCCAGCCATCCTTCTGCTGCAGAGAGTAATGAAGAAGAAAAGCAGCTGGTACAGCTCTCTAGAGCAGCTACTTACTGTTGCCCTCCTTTCAGATCTAGGAAATGAATGTATATGAATGTTGCAGCTGAAATCTTCCCATGCAAATGCAAAATGAAAATGGATAATAAAATGTTATTAAAGATAGGACTTGTAAGATATGGAATGCCTTGCACCTAAAAGATCTAAAGATCTTTTGGTCTTGAGTAACGTTCCCTAGCCCCTGAATATTCTTTGAAGCACATACAGAGAATTGGTATGTGAGAATAGATTCTTTCTCTTTCTCAGGCTGAGAAATTGTAATAAGCGAAAGAAATATAAAACAATTGTTATCAGCTGTTTGCTGACAGATTTCCTAAAATGGAACACATTCCTTGTTTAAGGTGAAAGAGGCAGGTTCGGTATGGCTATCACTCATCAGCCTTTAGACAGGCAGGGAAGTAAAACAGCTTCATTTTGCCAGTTTCATTTCCTGGCCTTGGAATCATGGTTTCCAAATGCATCATTCTATCCTCTGCACCACCACATGGCAGAAATTTGAAAAAGCTATGTTTGGTATACTTAGATTCTCTAGAATTAAAGGAGGGCATTTGGTCCCACCAATCTGTGAAATTTACAAAATCAAGCTACTTCCCTAGATCCTATATGGTGCTGAAATATGGGGAACTGGAAACCTAACCTCCCTAGAAGTAATCCAACATAAATTTGCTTGATTACTCCTGGCATTAATCAAGCAGTAATTCAACCCTCTCAGCTTTTCTTAGATTAGAACTGGTACTAATGTCATTAATTAATAATTAATTACTGGCTGAAAATTTTGTTCATTACCCAGTCAGAACTTTTAATAGCATCATATGGGGATATGAATTTTAGATCTTGGAAACTTTTTGCACTGCAATTAGATGCTAAACTTAGATTCTCCGTAGAGTGTGTGTGACACCTTGGCCTACCCGCTGCAAAACATTTACTGAAACAGAGATTGTCCAACCACTGGGTTCAAACTGATTTAGGTTTGTTAGGCACCCTAAAACAGCCCCTTTATATAAGAACATTTTACCCTTCCCTTTAGATCTTCCATCTTATTTTACTGAATTAATGAGTTTTGATTATAGAAAAGCTTTTACTTGGGCACGTTTTGATATGTTACCACTAGCCAGTTTATTAGGACGCTATACACAAATTCCATATCGCGAGAGAGTTTGCTCTTGTGACCAAAAATAAGTGGAGAATTTGGCACATCTAGTGCTCTATTGTCTACTATAAGAGACCTATCACAAAAGATTTCTCAACCCTATTTTACAAAAACATTACAGTAATTCTGAACAAGAAAAGCTTAAAATCTTACTTTCCAACAGAGACAAATTTGTAACTTTCTGAATGGCACGGTTTATCTCTACATTGTTAAAAATGGAAACTGTATCCCCTGCCTCTATCAGTTAAGTCAATACTTAGGTACAGTGGTGCCTCGCTTAATGGGCGCTCCATTTAGCGACGAAACCGCATAGCAATCAAGTTTTTGCGATGTTCCCTATGGGGGAAAAATCGCTTTGCGACGATCGGTTCGCTGTTTCGCTTACCGATTATCGCATAGCGATGATTTTCCAACAGCTGATCGGCGGTTCCAAAATGCCCACTGGCTAAAAAAAATGGCCACCCACTGTGTTTTGGGACGGATTCCTCGCTTACCGGGCAGCGAAAATGGAGGATCTTCGCTTAAAGGTGAGTTTTTAGCCCATAGGAATGCATTGAAGGGGTTTCAATGCATTCCTATGGGCTTTTTAAAATCACATAGCGACGAAATTGCTTTGCAGTGATTTTTGCTGCATGGATTAACGTCGCTATGCGAGGCACCACTGTAATTGTATCTTTGGGGTTATTCCCCTCGTGATAAGTGCTTGCTGCTGGCATTGGTTAATGTTTTCCATCTTCCTTTGACCTCTCCTTAGATGTTGAAACTTTGTGCCATAATAGAAATCAACTTGATTTGATTCTAAATGGCTTTTAATATTGTATTGTATTATATTGTAACATACATTATTATATTGTTTATATTGTTTTTATTGTTTTATCCGATGTATGTTGCAATGGACTGTGTGCCACATGATAAACTTATTTTGCTTGCTTGCTTGGTCCTAGGCTCACCTGTAATTCCTTTTCCTCCCCAGATATAGATGAGTGTCGCTTTGGTTACTGTCACCAGCTATGTGCCAATGTACCAGGCTCCTACTCCTGTACGTGTAATCCAGGATTCATCTTGAATGAAGATGGAAGGTCATGTCAAGGTAGTAAAAACATATGAAAAATTATGTTGAATCAGACTCTATCTAGTCCAGCATTTTTTCCCTGCAGTGGCCAACAAGATGCCTTTCAGAAACCAAGCAGAACACAAGAGCAATCCACCTCCCTGTTTGCGTTTCCCAGAAACTGATATGTGAGGAATACTTCCTTGTTACTGGGGCAACATTCAGCCATTGTGACTGGTATCCATTGAAAACTCAGTGTTCAGTATCATGAATTTGCCTATTTCTCTTTTAAAACCATTGCTACATTGTGTGGAGGAAAATGCTGTAACTCAGTGGTCCCGAACTTTTTCTGAACCACGCACCAGTTGTGGGGATGGGGTCCATGCGCAGGGGCACCCCCTGCTCGCCGGAGGGTAGGGCACGCTCATGGGCAGGCAGGGCGCGCTTGCAGGATGCGCTTACATGGGTGAGCAGGGTGGGCTCGAGTGGGTGTGGCACTCTTGAATGAGCAGATGGGCGTGGCGGGTGAGTGGGACACACTTGCGCCCACGTGTGGGTGGAAGGGCCATGCGTTTATGTGGGCATGGGGTGTGTGTGCAGGGGGGCAGATCTGTGACCACGGCCTGGTCTTGTGAAGGCCACAGGCTGGCAGCGGGCCGCAGGCCGGGGGTTGGGGACCTCTGCTGTAACTGAACTGTCTCAGGTGTGAAGAAGTACTTCCTTTTATCTTTTCTGAACCTATTACCATTCAGCTTGACTGATTATGGTTCTAGTATTATGAAAGAAAGAGAACATGTCTCCCCATTCACTTTTTCCATACCATCAATAATTGCATACCTGTTTGTCATCTTCCCTCTTCTATGGGCTCTTTTCTAAATTAACCTTTCTTACTTTATTGTTGATTTAACTCCTTTGATCATTCAACCACCAAAGCATTACAATTTAAATGCCAATAGAAATAAAATAAAATAGAAATAAAAATATGTACATCTTGTGTTAACTTGACAGCATAATGCTAGCAAATTAAACGGCACAAACACAAATATATACATTTACAAAATTCTGGATTAAAAACAAAGTACAAACAAATTAAAATGCACAGTGATTTTTTTTAAAAAAAAATGAGTCCTTTCAATTGATCATATGGGTCTTTACATAACTTTCCTTAACTTGGGGATAGCTACTGCAAATCTTGTTACTCTGTCTGCTACAATTTTATTAATATCAGACAACAGATAGATAATTTTATTTCTGTTACTTTTATCTGGCATTTCCTCTAGCACGTTTGATATAAATTTTGTTCTACATTCAAAATATAAAGAGCAATGCATTAAGTAATGTATATTCTCTTCTACTTGGGCTCCACATATTCAAAAATGCTGTGATATCAGTGTCAGGGTATAGCTCCCTTCCATATATTGTGATTACATACAGTAGTTTGGAATCTTAGTGTAAAAATGCTTTTCTAAGAGGAAGAGCTGATAGTTCGTATAAATAATTCATACATCCATAAGATAATTTCAAAATGTTCAAATAGGGGGAAAATAATACAATTCTAATCGCATTCCAATTCTGCTGACTATACAAATCCTTCAATTTTTCCTTTACAAATTTGTGAGTCTGTTCCAAAGTTCTTGTTTGTAGGCCTTGTGGAATTAAATCAAAGGCTAGCATTTGTTATTCACAGTTAGCCATCCAGGTGTTTTGACTGTCAGATTTCATTTGTCCCAGAAAACATTTTTTATAACCTTGAATCCTCCATCCTAAACTTAAAGTAATACATTAACCAAGCAACATAGATATAGAACTGTACTGGCATAATCCCCAACTTAGCCGTGATACTAGATGCTTGAATAGATGGAGGCAAACCAAGCAAAACGTTACAAAATTTATTTTGTGCAGTTTTCAAGTTTTTTGTTTTCATAATTCCCCAGCTACCCCCCCCCAAAGTAAGACAATAGTGGGATTACTGTGCCTAAATATACTGTTAAGGGAATTATCAAATTCCCACATTTTGTTCTAGAAAAACTCAAAATTGTCTGTACAGATCTTGTAGCCTTCAAGCTGCCCCTGTCTGCAAAGTATATACTGTACCAAGATAACTAAAATATCTCATTTGTTAAATCACCTGGTTATCAAGGGGCCACTTATGCTTTAAAATTTAAAGGACACTTTCAAAAAACTATAGCTTTAGTTCTAGCATAATTAATCTGAAGCTATTCCTTATGAAAATTTGTGCTAAAATCTTTCAGCAAGGGCCTATCATATCCTCCCTCAGTCTTCTTTTCTCAAGACTAAACATGCCCATTTCTTTCAGGTTTTCCTCATAGGTTTTGTAGTCCTCAGAGTTTCAGGAACACCACCTGTTTCTGTCCATTTAATGAAACAAGCAAATATTGTGTGTTTTAGTAGGTAAGCCAATCTTTAAAAGAAATTACTCTTAAAAATTGTTTCCGAGATGTTGAAGTCTTACTTTCAAGACAGCGCCCATCTCTTCAATTCCTTATCTTTTCCAACACGGCTGTTTGACTCCCGTACTGTTTTACTACTACTATTAACTCCAAATCTTATCTTCATGAAATGAAGTTTCTTGCTGTTTATAGTATTGCCAGGCAACTCTACACAGTCCTCAGGTTTGTATTCCTTGGTTGGGTGGTGTTGCATGTCCAAGGCTTCCAGCAGGTTCTCAGCTTCTCACAGCAGAGGAGCCTACAATAGCTTGTCTCCCTTCCACCAGAGTATGGGGAGAAAATTGTGGAGCAGTTTGCTGCAATCGAGGGCTGTACAGTTCTCTGTGGCAACCCTCTTCTTGTAATAAAAGACACTAATAATAGCACCTAAGTTAAAAGTCAAACTTTAAAACTATAAAAAGAAATTAAACAAATAGATAAAATAAAAGCAGAGCTGCTTAGGAGAGTGTGTGCAGCTGCACTCTACAGGAACTAGAAATCACCAAGCTAATCAATCCCAAATGTTGTAAACTTTCCTCCACTCCTTATTAAATCTGGCTCTCTTTTTCTGTGCTTTTTCCGACTCTGTAACAATCCTTCCAAGTGCTGTGACTAAAGCTGAGACAGTATTCCAAAAGTGTTTGCCTCATAGCTTTGTGTAGGGACGCTGTGATATTAGCAGTTTTATTTTTTGTTTCCTTTTCCAACTATGCCCAATGCAGAATTTGCCACACAATGGATCAACATTTTTCTTGCGTTATCAGTCATAACTTAGAGAAGACTTTGTTAGTCAGTTACCATCAGCTCAAATTGCATCTAAGTATGTATGTGCATCACATCACATTAGCTTAATTGAACTGACTTTGTCATTTTAACACTCATTTCTTCAGATATACTTTCAGAGCTCTTTTCAATCACTGTTTAACACTCTGAATAGTTTGGTGTCATTAACAAATGTGATCACCTTGCAGGCCATCATAATGCCAGATAGTAAATGGACAAGAACAAGTATGAATTCCAATATAGGTCCTTAGAGGACACCATTCTTCCCTCCATTGTAAGAATAGTCCATTTGCCCAAACCCTGTAAGACAGTTATATATGTGTAAAATTAATTAGAGGAGTTAACATGGCTAATAGATGAAGGGTGATCACAAATGCCTCCCTTCGTCCTGGAAAGAGGTGACTAGTGAGGTGCCCCAGGGTTCTATTCTGGGTCCCGTGTTATTCAACATCTTTATCAATGACTTGGACGAAGGAATAGAGAGTATGTTGATTAAATTTGCAGATGATACCAAATCGGCAGGCATTGCTAATTCCCCAGAGGACAGGGTTAAAATTCAAAATGACCTTGATAGTCCTGGGCCAAAACTAACAAATTGAATCTCAACAGGGAGAAATGTAAGGTCCTACACCTAGGCATAAAAAATGAACTGCACAGGTATAGGATGGAAGACACCTGGGTAAACAACAGTACCTGTAAAAGGGATCTAGAGTCTTGGTAGACCACAAACTGAACATGAGTCAGCAGTGTGATGCGGCTGCCAAAAAAGCCAATGCGATTCTTGGTTGCATCAATAGGAGTATAGTGTCTAAATCAAGGGAAGTGATGGTACCACTGTGACGTTCACCCAGTGTCCCCTGCTTGTTTCCCCCAAACCAAGGGTTCACTTTGGCGACATTCTCTCTTTCCTTCGCTGCCATCAGTGGATTTCCTCTATCCACACTGTAAAGGAATTTAATCAGACACTTGCTGCAAACAAAACTCGTTTATTAAAAGATATTAGGTTGAATCTGAATCACAGATGTTTTTTAATCATTGTATAGAATCAAAACCATTAAAACCTCATATATTTTGTTACACACTCAATCACCATTTGCTTTATTTATTCACTTTAACCAGATTATCTTTATCAATTCAGACACAGATACTTGCTTTACAAATTCCCCAGAGGACAGGATTAAAATTCAAAATGACCTTGATAGTCCTGGGCCAAAACTAACAAAATGAATCTCAACAGGGAGAAATGTAAGGTCCTACACCTAGGCAGAAAAAATGAACTGCACAGGTATAGGATGGAAGACACCTGGGTAAACAACAGTACCTGTAAAAGGGATCTAGAGTCTTGGTAGACCACAAACTGAACATGAGTCAGCAGTGTGATGCGGCTGCCAAAAAAGCCAATGCGATTCTTGGTTGCATCAATAGGAGTATAGTGTCTAAATCAAGGGAAGTGATGGTACCACTGTGACGTTCACCCAGTCCCCCTGCTTGTTTTCCCCAAACCAAGGGTTCACTTTGGCGACATTCTCTCTTTCCTTCGCTGCCATCAGTGGATTTCCTCTATCCACACTGTAAAGGAATTTAATCAGACACTTGCTGCAAACAAAACTCGTTTATTAAAAGATATTAGGTTGAATCTGAATCACAGATGTTTTTTAATCATTGTATAGAATCAAAACCATTAAAACCTCATATATTTTGTTACACACTCAATCACCATTTGCTTTATTTATTCACTTTAACCAGATTATCTTTATCAATTCAGACACAGATACTTGCTTTACATCTCTTTACACACACACACACACACACACACACACGTTTTTATTGAATAAATCATCATACCGTTTCAAAAATTACATAGCAATACATACAAATATAAATGAATGTATGAAATGATAATAAACAAGAATTTTGAAACAAAATTACCTTTAAAACAACTCCCACTGACACTCCAGTGGTTATACCTAAGTAATGAACCTCTTTAGTAGCATACCTCATCTAAACAGACCCCTTATCCGTTTCCTCAGGATTGGTGCTTTTACAGCAAAAATTGCCACTTTACCAGTTAAATGGGGCTTATCACCTTGCAGTAAATAAGTCAAATTTCTCTCATCAGTCCTAGCCCCCCAACACTTCAAACAGGGTGCTAAGTAAAGTTTTCTGATGTTCGCATATAATTGACAATGTAATAGATAATGTGCGAGATCTTCAATTTTTGCTGTCCCACAAATACACATTTTGACTAAACTCTAGGAGGCAGTGGAAGACAGGAGGGCCTGGTGTGCTCTGATCCATGGGGTCATGAAGAGTTGGACACAACTTAACGATTAAACAACAAAAAATACACAGTCTGTTCTGCATGGGAATGCCCTGATATCAGCCTTGTAAGATCCTTGTTTCTATTAGCTCAAAACAGAGGCAGGTAAACATACAAATATCTTTTTTCATTGGTAGGAGCATGTATTTTTCTACCTGAAAAATGCTTTTAGACCTTGCTAGCCATTTCATAGATTGCACTGAAGATAAGGCCACCATATCTTTTTGAGCTCTGATGTCAAACACTCTTTGTTTGAATGCATTTTTGTCGTAAGAATTACTTAAACTAATGGCCTGTATACATATTAAAATAATTATTTCAGCTTCTTTGCAATTACATTATCCTCCGTTATGAAAACAAAAAAATGTAGAGCCCTAAATTCATGCATCCGTTAATGGATTTTGCTGCAGACAAGCTATAGTGATTTATTTATTTCTTTTGTAAATAATGAAATTCCTTCTTCTGGTTCTCCAGCTGCAAAATCTTCAAAGCTTTCTGGTTTTTAAGGGTGAGAGGGAATCTCCTAGCAATATTCCCATTAACAGTGAATTTAAGGGTTAAGTGTACAGTTTGCTACAGCAGAATCCTTCATATATTGCCCTTTCCCTCTCATTTCACCCTGCTGCTTTTGGCCAGGTTTTGTTATTATTGAAGCAGTCAGAGTCTTAAAATTAGTAGATAAACAAGGAAGCACCTGCAGGATACATTTCAGTTTTGTTTGCCATATTGGTCTGATTCCAAACAACATGCAGAATCTTTTCAAGATGTCACAGTGGTAAATTGAACTTTTCCAGCCACGAAAGCTTGTTTGCATATTATATTCTGAATATACAATCCCTTGCTGTCATTTGAGGATGGTAGTAGGTAAATGGTGATAGTGGCTTTTCTGTCTCTGCCTTTGTGCTGCTGTCAACTCTGGCTTCATGTTAAAAGACAGGCAGAGCACAGTAAAGCAAGAATGATTCTTACCTGCTACAGGGCGTGGTCATGGCTCGTATATCTTCTTTCCTTGTGTTCCATGTGAAGTGCAGCTTGTACATTTTCCATGAAAACTCTTTACAACATCTTTGGAAAGTGAAAGATTCACAATATTCTATTATTTGCTATCTCAGGAGTCCAATGTCTTAGTGGAGAGACCACAGCTCAGTGGTGAGGCATATGTTTTGCATGCAGAAAGTACCATATTCAGTCCCTGGACTCTCCAGGTTAGATGACCTCCAGTAGCACATTGCTGGCAAGTGCTCTAAGACCCTGGAGAACCATTGCCAATTGAAGCAAAAGCAAAGCAAAGCGTGCTGCTTATATACTACCCCATAGCGCTTCAAGCACTCTCTGGGCGGTTTACAAGTTAATTATGCAGGCTACACATTGCCCCCCCCCAGCGAGCTGGGTACTCATTTTACCGACCTCGGAAGGATAGAAGGCTGAGTCAACCTTGAGCCGGCTACGTGGGATTTGAACTCCAGGTCGTGAGCACAGTTTTGGCTGCAGAACAGCGGTTTAACCACTGTGCCACAAGGCTCAGACAATATTAGAACTAGATGAACAAATCATTTGACTTAATATAAGAGACCTTCCTGTGTTTTCTACCAGACAGGTTTTTGTGCAGTTGAGGACAAGAAGGCAAATCCAGAAACAGAGCTGGTCTGTAGCCATCAGGACTTAGATACTGTAATTGGTCATACCAATGAACAGTTATTTATACAGTTTTAAGTAAGTTGTTGCCTGGGATAGAGAAAGATAGGAATATATAAATACAATCCCATCAGAGTTGTGGAAGGAGGGGTATTCTGATTATTATTCCTTTTTTGTAAACAGATTGCTTAGAAAAATAATAATTTGGTTGTCTTTAAAAACATTTTTTTTACTGCTGTAAGCATTTATTAAGCCAGAAACTTGAGTAAAACCTCTAATATTCTAACTACTCATTTCCCACAGATGTGAATGAATGTACAACAAGCAATCCTTGTGTACAAAACTGTGTGAACACCTATGGCTCTTTCCTTTGCCGTTGTGACCCTGGATATGAATTGGAAGCTGATGGAATCAGTTGTACTGGTAAGTAATTTTCAGTACCATGGCTTTTGCTGGAGGACAGGAACGCCATTTCTCCATACATACTGAAACTCTTTACATTATCACTACGTGGCAGGCAAAAATTATGAAACTGAGAGATTAATAAGAACACCTGATTGGACAAAAATTGATATATTCTTACAACAAATTAGCCAGAAAGGGGAACCAAATTGAGAAACACATTCACATCTAGATTATCCCTCTGGAGTCAGGTTAAATAATTTCCTTGTTTGGGGGGAATCATTAGGGCAAAATGAGGAAGGAAAGTGTCAAGAATATAGGATGTCTGCCCACCACCACCAATGCAAGCATCAGTGCAACCATATTTTTTAAAAACATGGCAGAGTAGCAAAGGTAGTACCTGGAAGAGTGTCTCTCTAAACGGTTGGCGATGAAAGCCAGCAGTGCCTCTGGTTGTCTTATCTGTTTTGTCCTAGACAGTATTGTTGTGAAAAGGCTCTGACCAGATAGACTACTTAACATACACATTCCAGAAGATACCACATGCCCATAGTAATTTGTTACATTTGTACCTCATTTTTCTGCCCCCAAAACATAAAGACATACTGTACATTGTTCTGAAGCACTAAGTGCCATTGCTTCTGCATTATACCATCAGCCAATGCTGCTGGTACTAAAAGTAATTGCTGCTGGTACTAAAAGCAATGCTGCTGGTACTAAAGCCCATAGTAATTTGTTACATTTGTACCTCATTTTTCTGCCCCCAAAACATAAAGACATACTGTACATTGTTCTGAAGCACTAAGTGCCATTACTTCTGCATTATACCATCAGCCAATGCTGCTGGTACTAAAAGTAATTGCTGCTGGTACTAAAAGCAATGCTGCTGGTACTAAAAACAATAATTAATGGGTCTCTTCAGGAGGGCAAGATACCCCTTGCCCTCAAGGAGACACTCATTAGGCCCATTAGGAAGAAACCAAAGTTGGCGACGGATGACATTGGCAATTATAGGCCCGTCGCCAATGTTTCTTTCCTTAGCAAAGTGGTTGAGAGGGTGGTGGCAGATCAGCTCCAGGTGCTCTTGGACGAAACAAACGCCCTGGACCCATTCCAGTCGGGCTTCAGGCCGTGCTATGGTACAGAGACAGCACTGGTCGCACTGATGGATGACCTGTTGAGGGAGGCCGATAGGGGCAATATGTCCTTGTTGGTCCTCCTCGACATCTTGGCGGCCTTTGATACCGTCGACCACGGTGTCCTCCTGGGGAGGCTCTCTAAGTTGGGAATTGGTGGCCCGGCCCTTGCCTGGCTCCGTTCCTTCTTGGAGGACCGTCCCCAGAGAGTTCAGATTGGGGAGAGTGTCTTGGCCCCGTGGAGTCTCAACTGTGGGTTTCCACAGGGGTTGATCATCTCTCCAATGCTGTTTAACATCTATATGTGGCCGCTAGGTGGGGTCATCAGGGAGTGTGGGGCATCATGTCACCAGTATGCTGATGATACACAGCTCTACATCTCCTTTTCATCTACCTCAGTGGATGCCGTCCTGTCCCTTCAGCGCTGCCTGGAGACTGTATTGGAATGGATGCAGTCGAATGGGTTAAGGCTGAACCTGGACAAGACGGAGGTCTTGAAGGTGGGCGGTCCTTCCATCAGTGGTATAGGTAATTCCCTTTCTTTAGGGGGACGACCCTTGCCGCAAAGAGTGAGGTCCGCAGCTTGGGGATACATCTGGACCCGGAGCTCACCATGGAAACCCAGGTGGCGTCCGTGGTCCACTCCACCTATTTTCATCTATGGCGGATTGCCCAGCTGCAACCCTATCTTGATGGGGGGGGCTCACTACTCTAGTCCACGTGCTCGTAATCTCGAGATTAGATCATTGTAATGCACTCTACGTGGGGCTACCTTTGAGGCTGACGTGGAAACTTCAGATGGTCCAGAATGCGGCAGCCAGGCTTCTTAGTGGGGTGAGAAAACACCAACATATCTCCCCCACTCTGGCTGCTTTGCACTGGTTGCCCGTCTGTTTCCGCGTTGACTTCAAAGTGTTAATGATTACATATAAAGCCCTAAACGGTTTGGCACCTCAATATCTGGCAGATCGTCTTCTCCCACCCAGATCTACCCGAATCACCCGACACAGCCAACAGGGACTGCTGAGGGGTCTGACGCGGAGGGAGGCCCAGAAGGAAAAAACAAGAAACCGGGCCTTCTCGGCGGTGGCCCCTTGGCTGTGGAACACCCTCCCTACTGAAATTCGGCTGGTACCCTTGCTGGGCATTTTCAAAAGCCAGTTGAAAACTTGGCTATTCAAGCAGGCCTTCCCTTCAGTCAATTAAGTGATTCTTATTTCATATTTTTTCTTTTGATCTATGCCATCTTAGAACTGTTTACTTTAAATTAATTAATTGTTAAAATTATAAACTTATGATTTATATTTTATATTGCTTTCTTTTTACCTATGTAATAACTGTGTATATTTTAAATTGTTTTTATTGTATATGTTGTGATCCGCCCAGAATAGACTATGTCTAGATGGGCGGCATATAAATGCAATAAAGCAATAAATAAATAAATAAATAAATGTGAGAAAGAGTGGCAAAGTATTCAAGACCAAACTTGCACACATACATATACTGTACAAACTGACTAGCCTGTTGCCATCAGGCACGGTGGAAGACATTGTTCTGTTAATAGTGTTGAAGTGATATTGAACTACCAGACTCTGGATGGCATCGGATAGCAGAAAGACATGCCTTCCAAATGAAAATTAGCTCAGTCATGTGTAGTTGAGAAGCACTTCCAATATGATGGTAGTGACCATAATCACTTCAGTTAATTGCTTTAAGCATACCCATTCTCTTCAGAAATTAACTGTTAGGCATGGGACTTTTGTTTCTTTTGGACTGCAATGCCCGCAGTTCACTAGCAATTCCTTCAGGCAGAATCCCAAAAACTGCACGCCAAAACCAGTAGCTGAATGAGGAACTCCACCTGCATATAGCACTCTATTTCAATTGTACTGGTCTTTCAAGAAGAAGAAAGCAGCTCCTAATGATGTCCAGGAGTAATGCAAGACTTCATAGAAGTCTCAAGAGAACAGAGTAGTGGCTTAGCCACTAGATGGGCATGGCAGAAATTTAAAAATAAAATAAATAAATGGCATAGGTAGTTTTTTTGAGAAACCTCCTCTATAAAGCTTAGCAGGCAATGAGACTACCTATCCCATGCTCCCTTGATACTCGCAGGGACACTTCCACTTTCCTTCAGAAAAGACCAATATAATGGAATAGAAATCCACACCTTTAAATTACTATTTTTTGCCTGCAGCTCCCAGGATTCTGCCTGGGGGAATTCCTGGTGAATTTTGGGATTCACAGTAAAAATAAAAGCAATTCATGTCACTAGAACAGATAGATCCAATGGTGATGGGAGCAGAGAAATTCTTGAAAAAATGATTCATTTGAACTGTGGTATTGGAGGAGAGCTTTACAAATAGCATAAGCCACAAGAAAGACAAACAAGCAGTTTCCAGATTGAATGAAGCTTGAATTCTCACTAGTAGACCTGTAGTTTCATATCATGAGAGGACAAGACTCCTTGGAAAAGACAATAATGCTGAGGAAAACTGAAGGCAATAGGAGAAAGGGAAGGCCTAACATGAGATGGACTGGTTGAATAAAGGAAGCTACAGCCTACAGTTTATAACAGCTGAGCAGGGCTCTCTGAAGGCCGCTCATTCGCATGACTGTCGTAAGTCATAAATAACTTGACAGCACATAATAAGAAGGTGCTTTTGCATTTGCTTCAGTTTTAATACCTTAAGCATTTATTTTCATTTGAAAATGACTAGTTAAGCTTGTTTGTGTTCTGAAAAGGTCTCCTGTGCCTCATTAAATGAGAGTCCACTCAAGCTCTTGGAAAAATAACTCTAGTTTTCTTGATTTACTATAAACAGATGCAACATTTCCTGGCTGACAGTGAAAAAGAACATATGGTGCTTAGGCCAGTTTGAAAATAAAATGGACATTACAGACCCAATATCTGAAAAGGAGCAGCTGCCTTCTGACCTCTGAATCTTGATCTCAAACAGTAGCACCTTTTCTATGGGCATCCTACACACTTATTTTTGGCATGTAGTCTGAGGATCAGGTCCTCAGTGTTCTTAACGTGGCACTAAATAGTTATGAACATTGCTAGATATGTTCCTTTGTCTAGAATGTGAGTTAGCAGAAATTTGTGGGATGCAGAAATATATGAGTTGAAGTGTGTTGGTGGTAGAATTAGACTATTTAAATACTAAACTATCTTTATTTTTGTTTTGCCTGAAATTACTTCAAACTATGCAAATATTTTTTTAAAAAATCTTCACCTATACGCTTACTATTTTTTAAAGAGCATGCTTTTTAATCTGTGTATCTCTTTTGCCTCCACCTAATAGGACAGGAAGGAATTAATTAAAAGTCATTCTCTTGGCTACAGTGCTCATGGTGTGGTATGCTGATAAATACAAACTTGCATAGAAAAAGCAGATTTCTTTTTGTTTTTTAATTACTGGAAAGTAAACATTTGCTAATAAGACTTAGAAGGCTCAAGAAGAAAGTTTATTCTTTTGGCCTCCTCTATCCTCTAGTTTCTGTCAGAAGTTGGTATCTGGGAATAAAAACAGCATTTTTTTCTCTCTTTAATTTGGCCCTGCACCAGAATGGGCTTCTTTAGAAACTAAAGTTTATGTAATTTTTCTCCTCACATGTATCAATTAAAATATATTTAAATTTGGTTTCAATCAAAGTTTAGGAAGACTCCTAAGTTACACCAACATTATGGAATCTTTTACTGGAATAGCATCTGTAGTAGGCTGATCATAATTTACTGCCATTGTTTATATGTTCTTGATATGATATGGAGTGGGAAGTGTTTACCCTGGGACAAGAAGGCATCAAAATCCTTTATTAAGAATGAGGAGGGCATTTTATTCACATAGGCTAACATAGGCTAACAGTGACAGAGGTGAACATATGAAGTCTAAGTGGTTTGTGTGTAGTGCTCCAGTGCCGAGTAGGAGGAAGAAAGAAAGAAAGAAAGGCAGCTTGCATCTAACCTATAGAAACAATGGTATAGGTAATTATATATGATGAACAATAATGTACAGCAATGCCTTGACTTACGAACTTAATTGGTTCCGGAACTCTGGTCGTAACTCAAAATGGTCACATTTCCCATTGAAATACATTGAAATGCAATTAATCTGTTCTGGGCAAAGAAAAAAAATTCATCTAGAAGAAAAAAATCACTGCAAGACCCATCAGAAACACATTAATCTGTTCCAGCTAAAGGGGGGGGGAAGCAAACAAAGCATGTAAGACCCATTGGAAATGCAAAAAAGCAAAGCAGAAAGCAAGTGAAGCGTGCAGGGCCCATTGGAAATGCAAAAAAGCAAAGCAGAAAGCAAGTGAAGCGTGCAGGGCCCATTGGAAATGCAAAAAAGCAAAGCAGAAAGCAAGTGAAGCGTGCAGGGCCCATTGGAAATGCAAAAAAGCAAAGCAGAAAGCAAGCAAAGCATGCAAGACCCATCGGAAATGCAAAAAATGCAAAGCAGAAAGCAAGTGAAGCGTGCAGGGCCCATTGGAAATGCAAAAAAAAGCAAAGCAGAAAGCAAGCAAGCCCCACAAGGCTTATCGGAAATGGGGGTAAAAAAACCAAAAAGCAAAAAACCGCCCAAGACCCATCAGAAATGGGGGGGGAGAACCCAAAAAGCAAACAACCCCTCAAGACCCATCGGAAATGGGGAAAAAACCCAAAAAGCAAAGAATCCCCCCCAAGACCCATCACAGTATAGAAACATAACCCCCCAGCCCAAAGCCATGCTGCAAAACCCACCGAGAAGTAGAAAGCAGCACCTTACTTTACTAGGCAGTCCAAAGCTTCCTCTGATCGCACTCATTCTAACCGTTGGGGCAAAAGAGCTACAAAGAAGCAGCCTCTTCGCCTACCAAAGGTTAGCAATTTGAATTTCCCACCTTTTTCCCCTGCCTTTTTCTGTTCGTAACTGGAGGCTCTGGCCGCAACTCGAAGCAAAATTTTGTGGCCGGAGCTGGAAGTAACTCAAAATGTTCGTAAGTCGGGATGTTCGTAAGTTGAGGCACCACTGTATAAGGTTACCAAGACAGCTAATGGATGTAATGGCTATGCTCTTTTCAAGCAGGATGATTTACATTTCTGAGATTGATTATAATTTAAGATATACCCTGCCCCTAATGATATGAGAATCCTAAATAGTGAGAAAATGTCATCACGCTAGCCTTATAGAAAATGTCAGGTGAGAAATATGGGTTGGAACCATTACTGATGTTGACTAGTAATTATCAGAGAAGAACCTATCACAAATGAAGTATTAACCTTTCATAATTCTAAATTTGCAGATATGGACGAATGCAGCTTTTCAGAATTTCTATGTCAGCACGAATGTGTCAATCAGCCAGGCAGTTATTACTGCTTCTGCCCTGCTGGTTACGTCCTTCTTGATGATACCCGATGCCAGGGTGAGAATATTTACCAAGTTGTGATTTTGGAAAACAAACAGAAACTGTATTAGTCCCCTTTTTTGGGAAAAAAGGAATAGTTAATAAAGTAAAGCATGATCATACTTTGCAAAGTAAAATCTAAGCAATGGTACAAATTGTATTGTAAGCAATACGCATTTGGAGCTGTTTTGAACTGTCTGAGCAGTATCATTAAATTTAATGGGCTTTCTGGCCTATGCAACCATTCTCCAGGGCAACAAAAGGTTACAAAACAGGTCCCATGCTATTCTCATTTTCCCCTCCAACAGTGAAGTGGCAAATGTCCCAGTGACCTTATCAGACAAAGTTGACTCTGTACAAAACATGGTGTTGTTTACTACCGAGCATTGAACAGCAGTGAATGCATTAAAATACTTGACCAAGTAACCATGTTTCAAGTCAAGGATGCTGTTCTTCTGTGTGTATCCATTTCCCTTTGGCAAGTGTAATTGGAAACAAATGTCGAATGACTTGCTGTTGGCAGAGCCAAACTGTTGTACAGCAACTTTCTTTTCAAAAGATTTTCCATCCCTTGTGCTCTCTACAGGATTTAACCTGGTATATATATAACACTAATCTGCTTTCTTTAAATATCAGTGTGGATTTGTGTGCCAGAGGTTCTTCCATGTTCAATGTTAAGACTACACCTATCAAGAGATCTCCCTTCCTTTTTCAAGAAGCAATGCTGCCTATATAGATGTCATGAGGCATTGTGAAGTAGCTCCCTCTTCTCACTTTTTAATTCCGTGCCTGAAACCAATAGGGGGTGCCAAATTTTAGTAAGCTTATCTACTTATATTTCTTCTTCAAGCGGTCTAACCTGTGTGGTCAGTTTCTCCATTAATGCTATTGTCCAAACCCTATCTAGGTATCTGTGGAAGGAAAACCCTTGAGCATTTTTACAAGTATGAGCAATTTCAGTTCTTGCTGCTCCTGTGAGGATCGCCACCAATTTTTTAATCTGATAAATTCCCTTCAGTAAATAATGAAAACAATAATAAGGTTTCATTGGGAATTATTTTTTGTTCTGTTACTTTTTCTAACCATATTATTACCTCATGCCACAATGGTTCCACTTTCGAACAGGAAATCATATATGTTCTAATGACCTATTTTTTGTTTAAGCTCTTATCTGGTATAATCTTATTTATTTTATGAAGTTTTGTAGGACATAAATGCCCTATGAACTGTTTTTAACACCATTTGCTTAGATTTAGCCAATATTGATTTATACAGTTGTCCAAGTTTTTTCTGCTATATTAATATTTAAATTTGTTTCTCAAACTGTTTTTGTTCCCATATAATTACTGTACCATATTCTTTATTAACAATATTTTTATAAATGGTTGAAATTAATCCTCCTTTTTAATTAAAATCTTCTATTCAATAGTTTTCTAATGCTGCAAGTGCTCTAATAAGACCTGAGGTATTACACAATTCATTTGCAAAAATGTTTATTATGAATTAGTTGAAACCAATTGCTTATTATTTGACTAGATTTTTCTCATAATTAATTGAAATTACATAGGTCTCTAATTTTATAGATTCCAGTTTCCTTCGAATGTTTAGACTGTGCATATTTGTCTTGAAATGTAAATTCAGGAGGATCCAAAAAGGGATATAATAAAGATATAAGGGGAGCAAGAATTTTTGTATATTTACGCCATATTTGAATTGCTTCACTAGAAATAGAGTTCTGTATTTGAACCCTATTCCTTGGCATATTTGATGCATATAAATAAAAATTAATCACCTGCGCCTCCCCTGATACATTTGGATTTTTAAAAGGGAAACAGTTCAGACAGCAGACATATTTGCTGATTTCACACACACACACACACACACACACACCAATATATAGATGGAAGAACAAGCACATACTCTGTATGTTTGTTGTATTATCACTTCTCTGCCCACCAGGCCCTCTAAAGCAGTGGTCCCCAACCTTGGGCCTCCAGATGGTCTTGGACTACAACTCCCAGTAGCCTTCACCACCACCTTTGCTGGCCAGGATTTCTGGGAGTTGAAGTCCAAGAACATCTGGAGGCCAGGTTGGGGACCACTGCTCTAAAGCATTGTACAATACAATACATAAGACATTATTTTAATACAGTACAGTCAGCCAAACTCAAAAGACAGTTTTAAGAACCAAAGACCAGTTCGGAAAATCCAGTTTTAACTGCCTACCAGAAGTTGATCATTAAACTAGCACCACTTCCTTAAAAAAATAGCCTCAACTTCTAGTATCTCTTTTTCCAGCCTCTCAGGAAACTGTCCTTCCTTGCTAAGCACAATGCATCTGAGCAGAATATTCTCTCTGTATATTTAAGCCCTGTTTTCATTTCCATCCTTGTTGGTAGATGTACACTGGCTGTAATAAGGTATTCATCACCATGGAACAGATTTCCACCATCAGTGCACAACTCAACGTCCAATTAGTGCACAAGTATACACTGGATTCCCAGTATGATATAGCGGATAGACTAGGACTCTGGAGAACAGGGTTTGATTCCCCACTTAGCTATGAAAACTCACTGGGGGAATGGAACTGGTAAAACCACTCCTTAAATATCCCACTTACCTTGAAAGCCCTGTTAGAGTCACTGTACATTGGTTCTGACTTGACAGCACAGAACACACATATAAACAAGGCTGAAATCCAGCTGCTTAGTGTAGTAAATCACAACAGGTATAGGCCTGTTGAATAAGTGGGGCTTTCTTTCTTTTTTTCTTTCTTTCTTTTCTTTCTTTCTTTCTTTCTTTCTTTCTTTCTTTCTTTCTTTCTTTCTTTCTTTCTTTCTTTATTTATTTATTTATTTATTTATTTATTTATTTATAAATACCCCACCTTTCTCCTCAAAAGGACCCAAGGCCGCTTACAAACAATATAAAAAATAGAAAAACAAACAAAAGCAAAAAAAGAAAACAATGAATCATACGCAGAGAAATATAACTAGATATATGAACACCAGCAGCCCAACTCTTAAACAGTCACTGAGAAAAAGCCTATCTAAACAGAAAAGTATTGGCTGTCTGTGAAAGGATAGCAAAGAGGGGGCCAGTCTAATTTCCCATAGGAGGGAGTTCCACAGCTTGAGAGCAGAGATAGAGAAGGCCCTCTGTCATGTCCACATCAAACACACCTATGAGAATGGCAGGACAGAGAGAAAGGCTTTCCTCGGTAGCTGTAGCTATAGTTGTTTAGGGTTTTCTAAATCAGAATCAGCACTTCATATTGTATCTGGAAACAGATTGGCAGCCAGTGGAGCTGTTGTAACAAGATTTATGTGATCCCTGTAAACAAGCCTAGTTAATAATCTGACTGTGGCATTTTCAATATGCTATAATTTCTGAACACTTTCCAAAGGCATCCCCATGTACAGTGTGTTACTGTAAGGCAGTGACACACTAAGGCATGTACTAAGGCATGTGTTACTGTGGCTAGGTCAGACATTTCCAGAATGGAAATACTAGACCACTACTTCAACTATCATTCCTGGCTACTGGAGAGGCTTAGGGACAAATCTAGAAGCACACCCAAACTGTAGACCTGTGTTTCAGAAAGAGTGTGACCTCATTCAGCACAGGCTGAAACCGTATTCTTTGATCTGCTCCTCAACTGACCAGGACCACCTCTGTTTTGTCTGGATGAAGCTTCAGTTTATTCACTTTGATCCAGTCCAGTACTGATACCAGACAATGATTTTGAATCAAAACAGCTTCCTTGGAATTAGATGGAAATAAGATATAAGAGTTGGACGTCACCCTCATATTGTTGACTGTGAACCCCCAAAACCTGGACAACCTCTATCACCAGCATCATCTATATGTTAAATGGCATGAACAGAAGTCTGAGGAACACCACAGGCCAAGGGCAAGGCACCAAATAATATATTCGCGAAGGCTTTCAGGGCCGGGATCTAATGGCTGTTGTGGGTTTTTCGGGCTCTTTGGCCGTGTTCTGAAGGTTGTTCCTCCTAATGTTTTGCCAGTCTCTGTGGCCGGCATCTTCAGAGGACAGCACTCTGTGGCCGGCATCTTCAGAGGAGTGCTGTCCTCTGAAAATGCCGGCCACAGAGACTAGCGAAAAGTTAGGAAGAACAACCTTCAGAACATGGCCAAAGAGCCCGAAAAACCCACAACAACCATCAAATAATAGTCCACCAGCACTGCCTTCTGAGTTCTCACATCCAGGAAGGACTAGAGCTACTGTAGAACATTGCATCCAAGTTCCATCCCATAGAGATGAGCCAGAAGAATACCATGATCAATAGTGCTGAAAGCTACTGAAAAGTCCAGCAGCACCAAGAGGGACATACTTCCCCTACTGAGATACTGGGATAAGTCATCCACCAAGCTGACCAAAGCTGTCTCTGTTCTTCATTGCTTTAGCAGGCCTACTGTAGTTGTGTTTTACTAAGCAAAGCAACAGAATTTCAACCAACAAAGTAAAAGCAGACTTGTGTTCAGTTAATGTATTTTGCATAACACTGTGGGATAAATTAGGTTCAGATAATATAATGAGGAGGTATCTGGCTGTAGAGCCAGAGTTTGATTCCAAGCTGTCTCTCCCAGCAGTACAGCCAGCCTGACTGCCTTTGAAGAAGTTAGTATTAAACCACTTTTAAGTACTGTACTTTTTACTTTGAAAACCCAGGAAAGGGTAGCCATGTTAGTACTGATTTGACAGCATGCTATCATCGCCAACAACATTATCATCATCATCTGCATTGTGGATTTCACAATGACTGGGCATTCATATCTACATATCTAATGCTCTCTATTTACTACACCTTGTGTATTACATCTAGAGAAGTATCTTGAAGAAACTTAAGGTTTATTTATATTAATCATTTTATCTGTCACTTTAAATGAAAAAAATGTGCTTTATATTTTATGAAAGTATACTATTTGATTTTTTTTAAAGATGTTAATGAATGTGAGGTTGGAAACCACACTTGTACCTTGCAGCAAACTTGTTTCAATATCCAAGGAGGATTCAAATGCCTAGACCCAGTAAGATGTGAGGATCCCTATATCTTGATCAGTGAAAAGTGAGTAATATATTTTAAAAGTGCAAAGGTATTTGTCTTCATGGGGTGGATGGTTATTTCATTGTAACAGCTGCTGTTAGCTGTGTACTATATAATCCTGATTTAGGGCTTCTTCTCACGTTAATATATTTAGTATACAATGAGAATATGCAAGACAGATGATTTTTTTAAAAAAAACATGTATATCACGTAACTGTACTTGTTAGATTGTATTTGTCTTCAGTGTGGAAGGGATTGTCACTCTAGAATTGGCCTTCTCAGCCACACTAGACGCTGTTCCAAGTCCTCCATACAGAGCATGTTACCATAGTCTCTCAAGACTGAAGGATGCCTAATCTAAATCTAACTTGTTAGAAATTTAAGATTGGCTATGGATCCTTCTGAAGTGAAATGTACATGGCAAACTCGAGTTTTGTTTTCATAATATGTACAGTACGTAAAACTGCTTATATCTTAAATAATGAATGAGACACAAATCTTATGACAGACATCCATCCCTATACTGGTATTTTCAATATACAACATACAATTAGCACTTGGCATTTTATTTGCATTAGCCATATGTCCTAGCAAGATGAATATAAAATTTGCAAAGATATGAAGTCAACATATTAAAACCAAGATAATAAATGCATATACATCACACATTTATATCTATGTCAAAATTGAACAAGCAGATTAATTTTACTATTTTTATGTTACTATTTTAAAATCATATTTGACCTAATTTTATTTTCTGCTGCTAAAAATTTAGCTGACTGTACTGTCACCTGTTTATCTGGGTCTGCAAGAAGAAAAGATACATAACTTAACTAGCAAGGGGCACCTCTCTATAGAAAGAGCAAAACAGTAATACATGGGCAAGCATTTCAGCAGCACCTCCAAATAGGAATATGTCATTTTGTAATGGAATTCCTCTGAAATGACGCTCAAGTAGCACTGAAGGCATGGCATTAGGTTTTGCATATTAAAACACCCTTCTATATTTTGGAGATAATGGCACAATGCAGATATTGTGCCACTGATTTTGGACAACTTGTCATGGAGCAGTAATACCAAGAATATTATTTATTGGTGGCAGACAAGTTATTTTGGTGTTCAGTATACAATACTGTATATCAATGTAAAGCTTGTGGATCTTCCATGACTTTCATAATATAATGCGCCCAGTCTATTCCATTAGAACATCGCACTTCATGTCAGTTCCCTCCTAGTTCTATAGAAATTATCAACAGCAAAAATATACTAACGTGAAAAGAAACCCTAAACCCTAACCCTAACAATAGGGTTAGGGTTAGAGTTAGGGTTACTGCTACAGTAGTCTGTACATTGTAAAGGTCTATGGCCGGAAACAATAAAGTTTATATGTATGTTACAGAGCAAGGATTTTTGTAGTTATATAGTCAACATATAGTGGCAAAATAGTAGCACCTTCTCAGCTGCATTCAGCAGCCTCTATGAGCTTGGTTTCTCCAAAATACAGGCTGCTTGAACACTTTTAAGTAAGATTAACAGTAGTTGATGTACACAACTGAAGAGAGCTGTATTTTCACTATTTTATTTAACACTAACAGGGTAACAGAGATAAAACATAATTCCTTGCCAGATCACCAGGTGGCAGGAGACTCAGCTATATGTATAATTACGCTCGGAAAAAATGTTTATGAAGCAATGAGAATATTTGGCATTAATCATAGTGCCAAGTATATTCCAGTAATCCATTCAAATATTTTAGAGTACTTTTTAAAAACTTCAAACTGTTTCATAAAGAATGTTAATGGTACATTGATTTATTGATTTAGTTTAATAATTTCTTTATTGATTTAGATTAATAGTTATGTAAAGATTTTCAGACTGCTCTACATAATGGTGTTCCCTGCCTACAAAATTAAATTCCAGATATCAAAACAAATAAGCAAAGATTTCAGCCAAATAACAAGGTAGACACCAGGATCAAAAAAATAAAAATAAATAACTGTCAAATAATCTGAAGAAAGCACCTACTGTATCTAGATTCAAATAATGTATCTGACACAAGAAATAAAATAATAAATTATGTTTGTGTATTACTTTAGGTTAGATAAACTATGGGATATCATTTGGTTTGAGATATAATAAAGTTAAGCTGCTTACCTGTAACTATAGTTCTGAAATTGACTTTTTTATTATTAAAGGCTTCTTCCTCATTCTGAGGCTTGCAAGGTCTTCCCTAAGGCAAAAGAGAGCCCTAGGAAGCCTCAAAACCAATAGGATTGGTTTACATTAATTGTTTAAATTTATGTTAATTAATTAATTAATTAATTAATTAATTAATTCTGACACAAGATCCAGTTTATACCAGTCTAAATTTATGCAACAGGATTTTGCACATTCAAATATAATGTTCTTTAAGGTGTTTTTTGTTTTTATTTTAGTCTGGTTAAGCCACATGGTCATTATCAGGGCTGTTTCTTCCTCCATGGCTCTCCTGAGACAAGTTGAAATGCAAGATGTTATGTGAGCTCACAGATGACTGCCTCAAGAATGTATATCTCGAGCATTCCAACAACTGCTCTGCTCATGCACAGTTCATGATGGTTCATGGCTCATGGTCTCCACAAACCATGAACCATGCCAGTTTTACAAAAAAAGACCCTTTCATGGTTCATTCAGTTCCAGCCGATCGCTAAATAAATGTGCTCAAACTGAATGGTTTGGTGCCCATTATTATGTGATGATAAGGACTCGTTTAGAAAGCCATATGCCAGAATGAATTTGTGAGCCTTTAAAATGGTTAATCAGAAGTAAATCCAAATGAGAATGATAGGACATTTGCTGAGTTCTAACTGTGTGTAGCTTTCTCCAAACTCCTGGATGTGTTTGATTAAACCTCCAATAATCTCCAGCCACCTTAAAAGATGGGAATTGTAATCAGGTTACAGGATGTTAATGTATATGGGTCTGAAGTTGTGATAGGACTTTTTGCTGTTAATTATAATAGCAATAACAGCAGTAAGAATGACACTATTACGTATTTTTGTTCTGCCAGCCACTGTATGTGTCCAGCTGAAAATCCTGGTTGCAGAGACCAGCCATTCACCATTTTGTATAGAGACATGGATGTATCAGGACGCACAGTGCCCTCTGATATATTTCAAATGCAAGCCACGTCCCGCTATCCTGGTGCTTATTACATCTTCCAGATCAAGTCAGGAAATGAAGGCAGAGAATTCTACATGCGGGTAGGTGGGATTTTGTAACAGGATCTTATACTTTTCAATTCATATATGTAATTTTAGACAATCTTTCTTCATTTTTAATATTGTATTGTCTAAAGCATAAAACCATGCTATTTGTAATGAGGGCTATGGCACTCACAGCTTCTGTAGCCAAGTACTGTGAAATTTTCATGGTATAGTTGCATTATGGGCCATCAAGTTGGAACCAACTTATAGGGACCCGATAGGGCTTTCCCTATTTGAGATATTTAAGGTGCATTTTTACCAGTTCTGCATACCAATGAGCTTCCATGGTCTAACAGGGATTCAGACCACAGCCTCCTGAGTCCTAGTCGGTCACTCCACCGATCACACCACAATGGGTATCATGAATACAATACAGGCTTGCAAATATTAATAAAATGAATAGCTCTCAACATAGAGCTTGCTTCATGCTAATACATGTTTATCCAGAAGTAAATCCCAATGAGTTCCAAGTAAGCATGTGTGAGATTATAGTCCAATCACATACGTTGTACTAAATGTTTGAGGCTGAGTTGGAAGAATATCGTTTGTAACTTATAATGGCTTCTTTTGGTAATCATCTAAGGTACACTTCCACTTACCATAGGTGATCAAGTGAATCCCTTTTGACAAGCCTGTACTGAAGCACTAGAATTCAGAATCCTTGTTTCGGCATCCAAAAATTATGATGCACTTAATTGATTGAGGGCGCAACTAAACAATCAGGTTGGAGTGGACTGGAGCAAGTCAAACAAGACTGCTCTTAGTTATGATAAGGTTGCTTTCAGTTCAGGGTGATCGTTGCATCCACATGCAAGGAGGGGAGACATGAGAGGATGCAGGGGCTAAATAGGTTTGCTTTGACGTGCAGTTTGGTTTCCCATCACAAAATCACCTGATTCTTGCATCGACATGGAGCAGAGAAAAGCTGGGGGAAAATTATTGATTAGTGGAATGTCAGTGAATTGCCTTATCATAGCACTGGGCTTATAACAACCAAACTTCATCTTCTTCTGTCTCTTCCTGCATGGAAACCTGGGGTTTTTTTACTTTATTGTTTTACTTTTTAACTTTATTGATAAGTGGCATGGGGAATCTGCTTTGGGTTGGTCCTGACAGTTTAAGTTGGAAATGAACCAAAACAGAATGATTCTACTCACACTAAAAAAGAAGAAGGAAAAAAATTCCCTCTGCCAGGGACTCCAAAAAGGCAGGCATGAATAACAGTTGTGTCGGTACATGATTACCAGAACACTGTGTGATCACCAGATTGTGGAATGAAATGGCCTGTTTCCATAATGGTCCAGACTGTCTGATTGTACCATCATTTAGAAATGCATCCCAAAGACAACATAAAACATAAGGGGAATGGTACGAGTACTAAATTTAAGCCTAAATCAATATATTTGAACCATTTCTAGGAAGTGTTGGTGTTCAGGCTTTGGTTAAAGCACAGCTGTCTAGCAAAGTTTGACCATGAAAATATGGATGATATCTAATTGTCATCTTTGGATAATATTAAAAATCACTATAGAGAATTATGCAATGTTTAGAAAATCTCAGTCTTATCCCTTTGTGTTTTTCACACAGCAAACTGGACCTATCAGTGCCACTCTAGTGATGACTCGTCCTCTGAAGGGGCCACGTGAAATTCTGTTGGACCTGGAGATGATCACTGTTAACACTGTCATCAACTTCAGAGGAAGTTCTGTCATTCGACTGAGGATATATGTGTCACAATATCCATTCTAACCTTCAACTTTCATTGCTTCCTTTTAAAAGAACATTATCTTTTGGAAAGAACATTAACTGTTTTCTGTCAAAACGTTTTTCTCAGGAGTCAGTGCTTCTAATAACTCAACATGAAATCAGTATTAAAAAGTTCTCACCCTGGCTCATGTTCCACTAAGGGGCCAAGCGTTATGGTTTAAAGCTGTTTGAGCTCTGCATTATCAGTGGATTCCATAAGCATTTCTCATTGATCACATGTTTCGAACGATCTTTGGCTTGCTTTACAAACATCTTGCAAGTTGTTATTATTAGCTTTCGAAACTCTGAAACTCTCCATCTTTGTAATGGCATTACTGCTCAGTAAAGGTACCAGAGAAACCACAGGAAAATAACCTAATTTTGGCTGTTCTGCTCTTGTCTTCCATTTTGAAAAAGAAGGTAGAAAACAAGCAACAAACTATCTGTACAATTGGGGGAACACTGCCATTGTAGCAAAAATATATGTGGAACCACCAATTCTGAACCTTTGAATGGGATCTCAATGGGGAACAGTCTTGTACTGGTCTTCTTTTGATTTTTCCTAATGAAAATATTTTCCTTCCATTTAAGGAAATGGAATCTCTACTGGGTTCTCTACTGCATGGAATCTTTGACAAGGATCTGTGGAACCATGTAGTTAATGAACTCACCCAGAGAACTTCATGTTTTTGCTTCTTGAACAGCCCTTGCCTATGACATATGGCAACCTCTTCTCAAAACTGAGATGACTTGAAAAACAGCTTTCAACATGGCATCAACATCTGTTGTTGAAAATTTAAAAGTGAAAAAAGCACCCAGCATTTTCACATTAATTAGACATAAAGGAGTTCTTTGGATCTTACTCTTAAGAATAATTGGTTTTTAAGAAAGAAGAGAGAGGAGAAAAGAGATCACTGGCTGGTAAATGTTAACATATTTATTGTAAAATATATAGGGCTTGATAATCCATTTATATTTCTGGGTTTCATATCACCAGCTACAAGGCAGCCTGCAATTAGATAATGACTGGCATTATAGAGCATAACAACAAGCACATGGTCACATTTCAACATTTTTAGAGTTAAACTAGATTATATGCTTAGTATGTTTGTGGAAGAGTACAGTATTTCCTCAAGTGATGAAAGATGTCTCTTTGTTACAGCTCTTGACCTTTGTCATCTATGTATCTTGCATTTAGTGTCCATACGTCTCTGTGACAATTCTGTTAGAGATGAGTAAATGCATTCCTTGTAGAGAATACACATTTCCCTTGATGTTTAGTTTGACCCTTAGGCATAATCTGCTTGCTGAACACTTGGAAGTGTCTTTGTTTTCTTCTGTGAGTAGAGAAAGAGATTCTATGGGAACAGCATAGCTTGGTGCTAAAGCACATGCGAAGTACACATAAGGTCTGAGTACAGTTTCCAGCATCTCCAGTTAAGCAGGAGAAGGGAACCTTTGGCTTGATGTTTTGAATGATGTCACTCATACTCTTTACTATCTGCTTTGCTTGTGGGGTCTGATCAGAGTTGCAAGTCAAAACTTCTGAAAGGCCAAAGGATCTCCACCTTTGGGTTACAAGATCTCAGGAAGTCAACTGGAGAGGATCTCTGTCTAGTAACTAAAAAAGCTGCTACCAGCAGGAGTAGACAAGGCTGTGCTTGATAGACCAATAGTATAATCTAGCATAGGGTAGCTTAATACGCTGATCCTATAAGAATTAAATCATGTGAACTAGCTACATATTTCCTATGACTTCCCTCTATCTGTATATGCATCCCAAATGGCTGGATATTACAGCCACAAATAGGATCAAGCTCAATAGCACCATACACAAAGTTCATGCTCAAAGTAGCCATTATGTAAGATGATGTTTATTTGTTTTGAGAACTTTTACATTTTGAATATCCCAAGGTAGAAATATTTTTCTCCTGCTTCTATTAAATTAAATTGCAATTGTTCTTGAACTGCCATAGGATTTATATAATGTGAACTAGCTACATATAACCTACAGCTGGTTTCCATCTGAATATGCATCCAAAGTGGCTGGATTTCTATTACTGCACAGTAGACAACTTACCCAGTGCTCAAACCAATTAAAATGTGATGAAGATTTTGATTTTCCTGGGATTTATGAAGAATATAGTTGTCATTCTGTGCATGCATGGGAAACCTATTAACAGGATATTCTCTCTCTCTCTCTCTCTCTCTCTCTCTCTCTCTCTCTCTCTCTCTCTCTTCTCACACACACACACACACACACACACACACACACACACACACACACACACACACACACACACACACACTGAAAAGCTGTGAATATGGCTGCCTTCTAAACAAAACTTACTATCTTCTGTTTTTGTTTAAAGAATTTATTTCCAGCTTCAGCAGTTAATACATGTTCTTTAAAATCATTTCAATAGATCTGCTTAACAATAGACAATAGGTTTCTTACTTGATTTGGGGAGCTTGGGATTTTATTCTATCTTAGCTTAGATATACAAAGCATTTTCTGAGAAAGAAATATATTTCTCAGGAGCAAATTTTAAATATTCAACAGGATTCTATGCTGGTTAGTTTTTTTTCTTATCACATAATATGTGATCCTGTGATTGTATTACTGGTTGAGCTATGCTCAGTGTATACCTTGTTTAATAAGATAATGTTTATAGGATAATTTTTCGTTGTCTAAACTTCAACATTTTATTCAAAGCAAGCACATTTATTCAAAGCAAGCACAGATGTACAGATCAGAAGGAAGCAAGGAGTTTTTATGTGGTTGCATATAGCTTTGGAACCCTCAGTAACCTCCACCTTAAGCAATTAAATATGGATTCATAAAATGTATAATGTTAGCATAGGCTGTTACTTTGCTATGCCAGCACACCAAGTAAAGCTTCTGGTTTGAATTCTTGAATGAAGAAATTCGAAATATTCTCACAGGTTCACCCACATGAACATTTGCCTCTTTCAGAATATAACAGTAAACTGTATGTCCCATGAGCAGGAGGCTCAAGGAAAGATTAGAAACAGTTTCTCCTTCTCTAAAAGAAGAGAAAACGGGAGTTTCTTGTTATGTCTAAACTCTTGTTATGTTTAAGCAAGCCACATAGTGTATTATAATCTTGGCTTGTTAAGCAAAACTATAGTTTAAAACATCTAAATTTTCCCCCTTCCCTCATTCAAGCAGAACAAAAAAATTATCTAAATTCAGAAGTAAATGTTTCAAATTTCCTTATAACTGAACTGGTATGGGAGCAGGAACATGAAAGCTAGAGGCTTACTTTATGTGGCATATAAGGTTAAACTATAGCTTAATGTTGCATTGAAACAAGTTTTTGGGTGCAAGTATAAGAATATTAAAAGCCAATGTGGTGTCAAACTATGATTCAGGGGACTGGATTCAAATCTCCACTTAGCCATGAAAACTCACAGAGGAGATAGCAATGATAACCACTTCTAGAACATTTCATGTATCTCAAACATCCTACTGGCTTTGCCATAATTTGGAAGCAGTTTGATGACATGCAACAAAAGAAGAGAACATGTAGCAATTCAATATCCAGATGCATACCAGCTGCTCGTAAAATCGCTTTGGCTTCTCCAAAGCCATTTGCTGTTCCTTAAGCAAGCATTAACATTGTCATGATTATTTTCCCCCACCCCAGATTTATATATTTCACTATATTTTGTGATAATGTAATATAGTACAGTAAGAGACTCTTGCTAGGGCTATCGGAGCACCAACGGATAGATGGACTACATTTTTTTCTTTGCCCTTCAAAGAGGCACATGATCACCCAGTGAGAAAGATCCCTGTGACAAGGTGCAAAGGAATTTATTAATTTATCAGTGAGTTCTCCATGAAAATTCTACTGAAATGAATGAAAATTAGTTAATAAAAGTAATGCTGTTTGGCAGCTCACATTCATTTTAGGGGGGTTTCTAAAAGAGTTACAGTATATGACAGACTGCAATTTGGTCACAGTAGTCATGAGTTCTGGTTTCTTCCCTTTATTACTCAATATTTGCCTTCATCTAATGCATGCACTAAGTAATTACTGATTTAGGAAAATATCCAGATAGTTCTCATCACTCTTAGCATTACAGGCTGCTCAGCCGGTGATCTTTTACACAGATCACACACTAGGTTACAAATCTGGATTTCAAGTTAGATATGTGAACACCTCTAACTTATCCTTTAGCATGTTTAGCAAGGTTTGGAATTATTTTTTTCCAAATGTTAAGTGAATAATTCAGAAGTATAATCTGAAATCCTGAATTAAGACATTATCTGTTCATTAATATACTAAAGGCTCTAGAAGGTAAAAAAAGTCCTTGTAGCTCACTAAAAGAATTGGGTATGTTTAGCCTTGAGAAAAGAAGACTGAGGAGTGATATGATAGCACTTTTCTAATACTTGAAAGGCTGTCATACAGAGGAGGGGCAAGATCTATTATTGATCATCCCAGAGTGCAGGACACACAACAGTGGGTTCAAGTTGGAGTAAGCTAGATTTTGGTTGAATATCAGGAAAAACTTCCTAACTGTTAGAGCAGCACGACAGTGGAACCAATTACCTCAAGAGGAGCTGAGTGCTCCAACACTGGAGGCATTCAAGAGAAACTTAAGACAACCACCTGACAGATATCCTTTGACTTGTATTCCTGCATTGAGCATGGGGGTTGGATTTGATGGCCTTATAGGCTCCCTCCAACTTCACTATTCTATGATTTCTGTGACTTCATTATCTTGAAATGAAAGGGATTTTTCCTCTTTCTTACAATGTGAACTGTAATAAAATATAACTGATTTTCATTAGTGCAGTTACTATAAATTATAATATATCGACTGCATATCGATAAGACCTACATGTTTTCTACATATAAGGATGTAATGATTTTTAAAAACCTTGCAGTCTTGCAATAAGAAGGATTTAATTATTTTAAAATACCTTGCAATCTTGCAATAAGAATATAGATTCTGGATTCTTGTTTTGTAGTTGCAAGATAATGAAAGCCAAAACCTTTGACTTAATAGCACAAAAGAGGGGAGACAGGATTCGTATGAATTTAATAGGGATCCTTTATATGTAGGTGCTCTGCTCACTGTGGACTGGATCATGATAAATGTTATAACTGTTTCATATTTGAACACTACAGCACTTAAATTACAGTTCAGCTCTGTGAAATTAAAGAAACATGGGCCAAAATAATAAGTTTAAAGAAAAGTCAGTTGCATCTACACTAGAAATTTAGGATCATCAAAAAGGCTAACCATTGACACTGCTATGGGATAACTGTTTATAATCCAAGTTAGAATATTTTTTTAAAAAAACATGCATTAGAAAGCTAATAAGATATATGTGGAAGAAAATGCTTCTAAGTTGTATTAGTAATACTGGAACACAAACATGCACTCTCTTTTTTGTTAGCAATGTGATCAATTGACTCACTGGGTGAAGTGTCTAGTTTGTAATACTTTATGAAGAGATGGAACAAATGCAGATTAATGCCTTCTGGCATTTGAAGTCATTTTTGCTATAGTTTGGAAAGCTTGGTGGCAAAATACTTATTTTTATTTTTCCTCTGAGAATTCTGGCAGACATCCTAAAATGAATTACATACCCAACAAACAGGCCCACTTTCTAGATAAATAGCTTGTATTCATCAGCACTTTTGTGAGGGGAAAAAAACTTATGCTTTCTCCCACTTTTATGTACCCGGCAGTGACGACTGGCCCTTTTAGAGCAAGCAGAGCTCTCAGTCTGATAGATAAAATAGTAGCAATGGGTACACTTCTTCCAATAAAGAATGAAGTAGAATGATGTGGAAACCTAGCACTGAGCCAATATAAAAGATAATTCTTCAATTAAATGCTGAAGAGTTGTATTGCAGTGTCATTCCACAGGATTAAGTAGGGAACAAAACCAGAATTAGAAAATGGAGCTACCAAATATCTAGCCTGGAAAGCCATTAGTACAGTGTCCCCAAGTGTAGCACTTTGCTCCCACAGAAGTGAAACTGAAATTATTTACTTAAATGGAACAGAATAAAAGGTTGCACTTAAAGGATACCAGCATGGAGGGGGGAGAAAACCTATTCCTCTTAAACCCAACTACTGAAAATCAAAACTATTTATAGGAGAATAGACTAGTCTCTTCTTCCACATAGCCTAATCATGAGTCCTCTTTCTCAGCACACGCACCCATCACATTCCCTATCTTGCATTTGATCTGTTGTTCTATAACTACTTAGGAAAGTAATGCTGTAATTTATGCTAGGAGATTTTGGTGTTTCTGATTCTTTCATGCACAAACCTTTACTAATTTGTATCTGAAGCCGAACTTTTAAAAATTCTTATATATTTTTTTGAAGATTGTGAAGGAATACCACATGGAATATGCCAATGTGAGACTGTTCTTTAAAGCTTTTGTTTTAGAAATTGAATTTCATTTTCAATAAAATTATAAGTGAATTTTTGCTGTTGTGACTACTATTTTAAAAGTGAAGGCTGCAATAATGCATGCATCTGTAGTGCTTTAGCATTATTTATGACAAAAGTACATGATACAGGAGTCTACACACATAATGATATATGTGATATTCTTAAGCAAATTCATGATTGTGATGAGTGGGGTGGGTGGCAGCATGGTAGAAAGAGCAGCCCTAGTGCAAGAAAACAGCAAAGGCAAGTGAAGGCCTGCCAGCTAGCAAATCAGTTCCAAGGATCTTGGTTTGAATCTTCTGACAAGGGCATGACACATAAATCCCAGAAACATTGGAGGTGTGGAGAGGCAGAGCATAAGGGAAAGAATCTGAAAGCTGTTGGGAGAGATGGGATGGAAAGGTCAGGTCAGTTTCTGCCCACCTCCTTTCACAGGCTGATAACATCAATCCAGCTAAAGTTATTTGTGACTAATTCCACAATTCTATACACGCTCCTGGGCTCCATGATCACTGCAGATGGTGACAGCAGCCACGACATTAAAAGACTCCTGCTTCTTGGGAGGAAAGCGGTGACAAACCTACAAAGGTTGCTGACAAAGGTCAGCATAGTCAAAGCTATGGTTTTGGCAGTAGCAATGTATGGAAGTGAGAGCTAGACCATAAAGAAAGCCAAAGAATTGGTGCTTTTGAATTGTGGTGCTGGAGGAGGCTCTTGAGAGTCCCCTGGACTGCAAGGAGAACAAACCTATCAATTCTAAAGGAAATCAA